AATCAAGGAATATAGTAAAGTTGCAGGATACAAAATCAACATGCAAAAATCACTTGTGTTTTGGGACCAGCCTGCTGGTGTAGTGGTTAAGCTTGCATGCTCCGCTTTGGTGGCCCAGGGTTTGCAGTTTTGGACCCCGAGTGCGGACCTACACCACTTATAAAGCCATGCAGTGGCAGGCACTCCACACATAAAGTAGAGGAAATGGGCACGGATGTTAGCCCATGGCCAATCTTCCTCAGCAAAAACCTGAGGATTGGCAGCATATGTTAGCTTAGGGCTAGTCTTCCTCACCAAAAGTAACAAACAAACAAACAAAATTCAGTTGTGTTTCTACACACTAACAACAAAGTAGCAGAAAGAGAAATTAATAATACCATCCCATTTACAATTCAACAAAAGAAAAAAATACCTAGGAATAAACTTAACCAAAGAAGTGAAATACCTGTACACTGAAAACTATAAACTATGGTTAAAAGAAATTGAAGAAGACACAAAGAAATGGAAAGATATTCCGTGCTCTTGGATTGGAAGAATTAACATAGTTAATGTCCATACTTCCTAAAGCAATCTACGGATTCAATGCAATCCCTATCAAAGTTCCAATGACATTTTTCACAGAAATAAAACAAAGAATCCTAAAATTTACATACAACAAAAGACCCCAAATAGTCAAAGGAATTCTGGGAAAAAGAACAAAGCTGGAGGTGTCACACTCCCTGATTTCAAAATAAACTTCACAGCTATAATAAGCAAAACAGCATGGTACTGACACAAAAACAGACACAGAGATCAATGGAACAGAATTGAAGCCCAGAAATAAACCAATACATCTATGGACAGGTACTTTTCAACAAGGGAGCCAAGAACATGTCATGGAGAAAAGAAAGTCTCCTCAGTAAGTGGCGCTGGGAAAACTGGACAGCCCCGTGCAACGGAATGAAAGTAGACCATTATCTTACACCATACACAAAAATTAACTCAAAATGAATTAAAGACTCGAATGTAAGGTCTGAAACCATGAAACGTCTAGAAGAAAACGTAGACAGTACGCTCTTCAACATCAGACTTAGCAGCATATTTTCAAGTACCATGTCTGACTGGACAAGGGAAACAATACAAAAAATAAACAAATGGGACGACATCAAACTAAAATGCTTTTGCACAGCAAAGGAAACCATAAATAAAATGAAAAGACAAGCTAACAATTGGGAGAAGATGTTTGCAAACCATATATGTGATAAGAGGTTACTATCCAAAATACATAAAGAACTCATAGATCTCAACAACAAAAAAACAACCTAATTAAAAAATGGGCAAAACATCTGAACAGACATTTTTCCTAGAAAGATATACAGATATACAGAAGTTTAAGGTTCACAACAAAATTGGGAAGAAGGTGCAGAGCTTTCCCATTTACTCCCTGCTCCCACACATGAGTAACATCCCCCATTATCAACATCCACCACTAGATTGATATATTTGTTACAAATGATAATCCTACAATGACACATCATTATCGTCCAAAATCCATAGTTTACTTTAGGGTTCATATTGTATATTCTATGGGTTTGGACAAGTATATAAAGATATGTATCCATAATTATGGTATCATATAGAGTAATTTCACTGCCCTATAAATCGTCTGTGCTCTGCCTCTTCATCCCTTCCTTCACCCCACAACCCCTGCAATTTCCAATCTTTTTTCTCTCCATAGCTTTGCCTTTTCCAGAATGTCATATAGTTGGAATCCTACAACAGGTAGCCTTATCAGATTGGCTTCCTTCACTTAGTAACATGTGTTTACGGTTACTCTATGTCTTTTCACAGCTTGATAGCTTGTTTCTTTTTAGTACTGAAAAATACTCCATTGTCTGAATGCACCACAGTTTATTTATCCGTTCACTTACTCAAGGAAATCTTGGTTGCTTCCAAATTTTGGCAGTTGTGAATAAAGCTACTATAACCATCTGTGTTCAGGTTTTTGTGTGGAAATAAGTTTTCAATTTCTTTGGGTAAATACCAAGACGGATGATTGCTGGATCGTATGGTAAGAGTATGTTTAATTTTGTAAGAAAGCACCAAAGTGTCTTCAAAACTGGCTGTACTATTTTTCATTCTACCAGCAATAAATGAGTGTTCCTGTTGCTCCACATCCTTGCCAGCATTTGGAGTTGTCAGTGTTCCAGATTTTGGCCATTCTAACATGTGTGTAGTGGTTTTCACTATTGTTTTAATTTACATTTCCTGATCACATATGACGTGGGTCATCTTTTCATGTCCTTATTTGCCACTTGTAGATCATCTTTGGTCAGGTGTCTCTTAAGGTCTTTAGCATATATATGTGTATGATATATATATATATACACACACACACACACACGTGTCATATCTCTTCAAATTATAAACTTTATTGGTTGCACTTTATAATGCATATTATAACTCAATAAAATTGTAAAACACACAAATAAACAAACAAAATAAACCAAAACAACAATAACAAAAAACCTGCAACCCTTCTGAACTCAACTCAGACTCTAGTTGAACTAAGGACTCAATTATTATCCCCTCTTATGACTCCTTTGGATGTCCTAGGATTCCCCAACCCTGATCCTTCCTTGACTTTAACTTTTTTTTTCCTTTCTGCTACAGATTGTCAGCTATTTTAGCATGATGTTCTTAGACATTTTTGGGTGGTTGGATTCAATCTTCTGAATAAGAAGAGAATGCTTTCCAAATATATTGCTGATTTTCAAAGCCTCAACAACGAAGTACTTAACAGTAAACCTATAATCAATCAACATTTTAATATTTTTTCCTGAATAATTTGGAATTTGAGATGAAATATGTGTGCAATTTTGAATATCATTTATTAATGTTTTATAGGGTCACAGTACCTCTGGGTAATAGCTATTTCAGGTTCATGGAATGTTATAATTCATCTCCTCTGTAATTTTTATTAGTTGCCTGTTTTCTTTCAGAAAACAGTTTGGGTTGAGTTTCAATAGACAACTCTGAATTGGCTTTGTAAATTCTGTGTGTGTGTGTGTGTGTGTGTGTGTGTGTGTGTGTATGTATTCACATGTTTTAAAAGAAATTTTCTCTGCCAATAAAATGCCTAGCTGTATATCATTCTTTAATCTGTCTTCTGATATTGAGCAATGACCACAGATCAGATAATGTTTTGGATGACTATGATTAAGGTACTGATGATGAGGTTTCAAACAAAAAAATAAGAAGCAAAGAAGTGAAGTAATGAGTCAATTATCTGTCCATCTAAATAGTAGCAAACTAACTCACTTGTTAACATCAATTACATATTAGGTATTCAGGTCTTTTTTGATGTAATTATGGCTATGTGCATAGGAACTGAAAAGTTGTACATTTTCAATCATCTTTCTCCTACATGGCTTCCCAGGGCACTCTTTTAGGGTCTCTGCTACTTACTTTGATTTTCCACCACTAGACGGATGAGTAAAGAATTCAAGAGTACAAATTTGTCATGTATTAACTATATGCTTTTAAAAGTTTGTTAACATCTCTAGGACTTCGTTTTATTCATCTGCAACTTGAAGGGATTGGAGTACCGATATCTACAGCCTCCTTAAATTTTAAAATTGCCTATGCTATGAATCTTGTCCATGTTTTCTGAAAATTAATATGGACAAGACATGTTCAGAAAATATGAGGCTTTACTCGTGATGAAGATCCTGCCTAAGGATATCAGATTACAAATATTTAAAGTTTAGTATGACATTAAGAAAGAATATGATTTAAGGATATAAAATCATAAATACCATGGAAAATATAATGGAGTTTCATTTCAGATTCTTCTAAATGAGAACCAGAACAGTGACTAGGTAGAACAATAAATTATATGAAATTTGCTATAAAGACATATTTCTAATTAGTTTCAATTTGAATCATCCCTTTAACTCTTTCATGGATTCATTCAAAGAGTTTAATCTGTGTATAAATTCAACATGAAGCATTTTCCCATCAATACTAAAATAAACATATATTGATTTTCTCTTCTTTGTATTTTCTTACATCAAACACTGAGTATGCCCAGGTTGTCATTAAGTGATCATTGTGGAAAGACTCAACTTTAAATCTGAATATTATAATTTGAAAGTAACCAACTTTATACCACTTCACTAATATTTTACTTAAGCTATTATTAACAAGCTAAAGTAAATTTCTTTGGAGTATGTATTAAATTATTCAGTTACAAGTATAGAGATTGAAGTCCATATGGCAATGGATAAGATAAGAAAATTTCAGTGGTGAAAAACAAACTAGTAGGGCCAGCCACAGTGGTCTACCAGTTAAGTTCAGTGTGCTTCATTTTGGTGGCCAGGGTTTGGTTCCCGGCCATGGACTTAGACCACTCATCTGTCAGTGGCCATGCTGTGGTGGTGGCTCACATACAAAAAGAGGAATATGGGCAGCAGATGTTAGCTCAGGGCAAATCTTCCTCAGGAAAAAAAAAATTAGAAATATTACATCTAATTCTGACTTTCTTCAAACCTTTTCTTTAAAAGAAAGTTACATAGGAGCCGGCCTGGTGGCACAAGCGGTTGGGTGCACGCGCTCTGCTGCTGGTGGCCGGGGGTTCACCGGTTCGGATCCTGGGCCTGCACTGACCCACAGCTTGGCAAGCCATGCTGTGGTGGCGTCCCAGATAAAGTGGAGGAAGATGGGCATGGATGTTGGCCCAGGGCCAGTCTTCCTCAGAAAAAAGAGGAGGATTGGCAGATGTTAGTTTAGGGCTGATGGTCCGCACACACACACACAAAAAAGTAAGTTACAAAGTTACAAATGAAGGACAATAGTACAAAGGTGTTAGAGGACACACACATATAAACACACAGACCACTAAATTATTAAGAAGGGTAAAGTGATGACAAAATCAGCTTAATTATATAAGTAGTTTTACTGTCTCAGAGATCAGATAGGAATATTAATGATATAATATAGAAAATATTTTTAAATTACAATTATGTACATCTATGGTCTTCCAAACATTTATTATCTATTTTAATAATGAACCTCACATAGTTCCACTTTCTTGAAAAAATCATTATCTTCCTGACCATATCTTTGAAGGCTATTTTCACTTGCTTGTTCCGTAGGGTATAGATAAAAGGGTTCAACAGAGGGGCAACTGAAGTATTTAAAACAGCTACTTTCTTATTAAAAGTTGCTGCATCCTCCGCAGAGGGATTTATAAACATAAAGATACAGCTTCCATAAGAAAGTGAGACCACAATCATGTGAGAGAAACACGTAGAAAATGCTCTTTTTCTTTGTTGAACAGACGGGATTCTCAGAATTGTCCCAATAATGTGTGTGTAGGAAAGAATCACAAGCATCAACGTGAAGATGAGGGTAACTGCAGAAACGATAAACACAATCACTTCTATGAAATGTGTGTCTGAACAGGATAAATGCAGTAAGATAGTATAGTCACAGCAGTAATGATTGATGATGTTGGATGCACAGAAAGGCAGCTTGAGAGCCATTTCATAGGGCACAATAACAACCAAAAAACCAGAAAACCAGGAACATAGGACAAGTCGAATGCAGAGTCTCCTGCTCATTATAGTTGTGTAATGTAGAGGTTTGCAAATGGCAATGTAGCGATCATAGGACATGGCAGCTAATAGGTAAAATTCAGTTGCTCCCACAACAACGGAAAAAAAGTACTGAGTGAAACAACCAGCAAAGGAGATCGTCTTGTCGCCAGTTCCTATGTTGACTAGCATTTTGGGAACAAAGACAGAGGTAAAAGATATTTCCAGAATGGAAAAATTCCGAAGGAAGAAATACATAGGAGTCTGGAGGCGATAATCCAGCAGGGTCAGAATGATGATGGTCAAGTTCCCCATGACACTGAAGACATAAGTTAGCAGCAGAAAGAGGAAAAGGATAGCTTGAAGCTCGGCGTCATTGGTCAAGCCAAGAAGAATGAACTTTGTCACTGATGTTTGGTTCCCTATCATTAACTTCGGACAAATTAAGGTAAAAAGAATAATAATGGTAAAGGATGGAATAAAACAAAAATTTCCAGATTATATTGAGGTATAAAATCAAGGTCAAAACCAATTGAAAGTAAAATTCAATACTCTGAATATTCTTCTACCCTTTATTATTAAAATGATGTATCTTTTAATGAAAAAGATTAAACATTTTCCTAATTTATTTCAGAAACAACAAAAGTCCCAGTTTTTGGGGACATTTTCAATCATTTCTTCTAAATAGTGTCAATATTTACTTCTCACCATTTTCCCACTTGTTTATATTTTTCTTATTATTCTTTCTATCCTGATTTTCCTCTCTTCGTTACTGGATGCTGTCACATGTGTGCAAACAAATCTAAAAGAAATTTAGAGAGTTTTATTTGAGATTTTATTTGGTTTTATTTGAGATTTCTTAGATTAGCCTTTTAAGTCTCAGTTTATTAGCCAATAATGTAAATATAATCCAAGATATGAAGGATAGGAATAAGGATGAGCTTGGTTGTTTTCTTCTTTTTGCTGTTTTGTATTATTTGCTTTTTTCAACTTTCTCATTTTGAGTAATAGTTCTCTGTACCTACTGAAGCTCAAAGCCTGGATAGATTTTTCTCTTAATTCTTCGTAAAATGTTTGAGATTCATATTACTTACAGTTCCTGAGTCATAGCAAGGGCTCAATAAATGCCATCACCATTTAATGTAGGTATATGGATTAGTCCTTGGTGACATAGTAAATCAAAACAATCTCAGTGATTGTGCTTTCTTGCTGCACACACGATCTGTCCATCAACACATTACAGTTCCTTAAAAAGCCAGTTCAAGCTCGGCTCTCCATACAATTTTATCTAACAATCCCAGTTGACAATAATTGTTTCTCTTCTTTATAAAAACTTACCACAACATAACACTGGGTCATAAAGTCAAATTATTTTCTAGTTATAACAAGTATGTATTTACTATTATCTGTCCAACTAGAGCATAAATAAATTGCCCACAATAATAGGCTCCTATTCCTTTATATTCTTTATGCAGAGGCCAGAAAATTGTACAGATGTGGTAAAAATTTTAGTGCAAAATATATTTTTGGCTTATCTTTAGACGGATACCCCTATTTTACTGAATGCTAGAGAGTTTTTATGCAAATAGAATGTCTAGTTAAGTTCATGCATACGGTTCCTCAGAATTTTCTTTTAGTCTTTTCCATCAGACATGAAGAAATACTACTAAGAGAATGCTTTTCCCTACTCAAAAAAATCATACAATTCTTTTCATTTTAACAATTGTTTCACTACATATATTGGTGTATTTTCATATTTTAATATATAATAAGCTAGCAATATTCATACATTTTATATCTTATCAAGGTAAAAATTCCAGAAATATTTAATAAAGTAAAAGGGCAGCTTTGCCAAGTGAGGAAGACTTATTGTCGAGTAAAATTATATCTGGAAAGTTTTAGGGTTACTGAAATTATAACTTTAGCCAATTTGCACTTTTGTAGAAAATTGTGTGTTTAAAGGCTATAACATGCTATGAAGCTATGCAGTAGTAGTACATTTAAAATTCTGTTACATTAACGAATAGTTAGATTAATGTACCAATAATATAAATTTAAGTGTCAATTGAAATTTTGGCTATCTATGTCTGAATATATTATCTTGACTGCTTTATAATGAGTACAGATAAATGGGTGTGGGAAATTAAAAATCATGTACAAAAAATGAATTTTACAAAAATATTTTATTCTCGGAGAAATACTAGGACACTACTTCCACTACGACAAAATAGTTCATTAAATTGTAATATTACCACAGCAAGTTGAAATAAATCTTGAGGATACGAACAATTGGTAATGATTTTCTCTTTTTACATAGAAATAAATAGTGTGTCAGATAATTTGAAGATATCAATTTAATCTTCTAGTATTAATTAAGACTTAAAATTCTAAATTTGAAAGTAATTAATCAAGCTATTGCATTCACTAAACACCATTAATATTTTGAAAGTTCCATTGTTTATATAGTAATATTTTGATAAAGCAAAAACTTTGTAATTTATTTCCACATAATAGAAACACTTGACTGAATGTAAAAATAAATATGGGTTCAAAAATGAGAGTAAAAACAACATTTTTATGTTAGTAAGTGGTCTCATCATGTATTAAATAAAAGATGAACAAAGTGATCATTTTTGTATAAGAAGAAAAATTTATATCAAACATTTCTTTCATCATAATAAGGGATGATAATTCTTTATAATAAAAATTAGTGCTATTAGTGCCGTAGTTATATATGGTGATATAATAGATACTTGATCCAAACACCATTTATTTGGCCAAAAATATATTGTCTTCAAAAGATTTACTGCTAGGTCACTGATTAAAAAAGATAAGGTTTATGCGTTGTTAAAAGGGCGTAGAAGAACTTCCCCAATCTTTTCTTGTTAACATTAGTTATGAATTCCTTCTCTCAAAGAAAAGTCATCTCCACAATGAATTATATGTAACTCTCATGTTTAGCTTCTGTCTCCTACTGTGGTGGACCACAAAGCTGTAAGAAAGATCTGTTAGTTCATGGAGCATTGTTCTAGATTTCATTTAAGAGGAAAGCTAAGAAAACTGTATCTGTGGGAACATGAACGGGCATAGTGGAAAACCAGAAAATTTGTGATTTGAATTATTTTACCACTTTAAGCTTAATTCTGTGAGTATGGTGTAACATTTTCTGTCTGAAAATACATATAAATGCTAAAGTGTTATGTTTTGAATTTTTACCTCTATTTGCTTAAATCAATCAAGCTTTTATTTAAAAAAATATGTATTCAATTATGTCAACAAGCAAACGTGAAAGGTAAACAAAACACTAAGACTATACATCTCTAGTTAAATGCAGCCGTCACCAACCCCTCCTACCTCAAGCAGGTGAATCAGTTCTTAGTTCCAAAACGGCTCCTTTTGTGGCTGAATTGGGCAATATAAAGGTTTAGGACCCATTGGGAAATGGTCCCTGGGCGATCAGTAATTGTCTGTTTCAAAATGCTCAGTCATGCCTTGCTTTCTGTCCCAACAGAGATGGGGCAAATTAGCAGGTAAGCAGAAAACAACATGCTTTCTTGGGTCTAAAGAAATCTTTGCCTAATGAATATCAGCAAATTTTCTTCAGAAGAGAAATAACCTGTTTTCCTCCAGAAGTTTTATGGTTTTAACCCCTACATTTAAATCTATGATCTATTTCAAGTTAATGTTTGTAAAAAAATGTGAGGTAGGGATCAGGTTTATTATTATTTTGTAAATGACTATATATTGTTCTAACACCTTTTATTGAAATAATCATCCAATAATCCTTCCCCTATTTAATTGGCACTTTTTTGAAGGAGTTCTCCATCCTCGTTCCTCTTTTCCAAAATTGTTTCAGCTTTTCAAGTTCCTTTGAATTTCTATTACAATTTTAGAATCATCTTGTCAATTTCTAAAATAAAAAGACTTGGTATTTTGATTAGAAATGCATTGAGTCTCTAGAACAATTTTTGGGAAGAACTGATATAACAAAATTTCATCTTCCAACCCACGAACACAGTAGTAGATATGTGAATAGAAAAGGAAAAAAAATTTCTGCACTCATAGAGTTTACATTACCTATATTCACATTGATGTGCGTTTAAAGAAAAAAGTCCTAAGTATATATATCCAAAGAAGGACACTAGCTTTATGTAAAACAATGGATATGTACACCATTCCATGATCACCAGCCTCCTCACATGCTGTCCTATCGACTGCTTCCCATCCTCCATTGTCCAGACCCCTGGACAGAGGTCTGTGATCTGTGACTAATCCACCACTTTCCTCTATCTGATACACTTGTTATTCTTTCCCCCTTGTGTCATAAAGCTAATGAATTATCAAATATCTGCTTTGTGATTTTTTTTTCATTCTTCCTTTTATTTTCATTCTCTCGCCTAGTGCTGTAGTATGGGGTTAACACCACACACTCATTGTGCTACATAATATCGTAACTGCTTTCTCTGATTCAAGCCTGTATTTTGTACCACACATCATCTCCATTCCTCTAATTTTAATGTTGTAATTTCCCTGCTTAAAAACAACCCCGTTAAACACGTACCATTTCTAATACATTTGCTGGCATCTGGCTTCTTCTGTATTATGGAATAAACATACGTTTCATATCTCTTTTGCCAATAGTTAACTTTGAATAGTTTAGCATCTCAAACCAGAAACCTCCAATCCTGTGAAAATGATATTCCTCAGGATAGCTTCCATACCACAACAATGTAGCAGGATGAGGGGTAAAATAGCTGATTTTTTTTCAACAGCTAGCATTATAATTCCTTTGAGTGAATGAACTTAAGAAGATAAGACATCAATCATGACAGAAGATAAAGTCCTGAGGAATGGGGTTGAAAATGGATCAAGGAAGTGATTGATAAGTGAATCTGCAGTAGAAAATTAGTACGAAAATCACAATAACATCTCTAACCATCTCTGTGCTTCGGTTTCCTCATCTGTGAGGTGGAGATCATATGAGCAGCTATCTCATGGTTTAGCATGATGAATAAGCTTTAGAACAGAGCTTGGCATAATCAGTGCTCTCTATGCGTGAAGTTCTAACCTTCCCCTCTGAGCCTGCTCTCACTGAGTAGATAAGTTCACTAAGAAGGGACTTATCGGCTTTGCAGCTGTGCAGTTCAGTGCTATTCAGAAGGAAAAGGGATAGAGGACTTAATGTTTACCAATTGCCAAATCTAATTTAGCATTACAAGCATAAAGAAAGATATTCAGATTTCTCTTTCTTTTGCCTATTTTCCCCAACTGTTTCAGGGCATTACCATTTTTTCTTTTCTACAGTTTTTAAATATAGTATATAATAAATGTTAAGTATAGCTATTATTAATCACCTTTTTATTATAAACCTCAGTGAATAGATGAGTTTTTTATTTTCTAAAGGGTAATTTATAGGGACTATACTTAGA